GAAAGAGGACCAGGATGGACGGGTGGCTTCCTGGGCCCTCCCCACCTTACAAAGCCCCAGCCCAACCACTGCCTTATTGGCCCTGAGGCTGCATCTTGGGTTTGTACAAAGTGAAAATGTGGAAGCTACCTCTCTCCAGGCCTGCTGTCCAGAGGAAACTGCTGTCTACAGTGCGGTTCCACACTGCTCTGGACATACAAGCAGCTGGTGAAAGTTCTCTAGGAGCACATGTGTTTTAAGCCACCCTAGCCACCATCTTCAGCAACACACATCATAATCCTGTGGACCTTCATGCCTGCAAGGCTCCTGAGTAAACTATTTCAGCATAGCACAGAATGTTCTGTGGACACCAGAACTGGGAGAAATTGCTCCAAAAAAAAAAAAAAAGAAGAAAGGGTTCTGAAGTTGAAGATGTGTGTTGTATCTACCTCTCGGAGAGCCACAAGGCATATTAGCATATTCAAGGTTCTGACAAGTCCTGCAGTGAGTAGCTCTGTTTAAGCTTACAGCGTCAGCTTTTCTCAAACTACTTATTAGATCACAGGTCCGCTTATCCAGGAACACCGTCAACGTCACTCATCACTCATTTATTCAAGAAATATCTATTGAATTCCTATTTTGTGCTAGGTATTTTGTTAAGTGCTGGAGATATAGTGGTGAACTAAAAAGACAATCCCTGCCCTTATGGAGCTGACAGTCTGGTAGGAGGGACCACCAGTCAATAAATAGATATATGGTTACAAACTGTGAAAAATGCTGTGCAGAGAAAGACCAGGATACTTTAATAGAATAATAGGAAAGTTCTACTTGAGATTGAGTGGGCAGTCAGAGAAGACCTCTCAGAGTTTTGTCTCAGACTTGGAAGAAGAGGGAAAGAGCGAGGGCAAGTGCACCAGATGGAACAGCATGTGAAAGCTCTGAGGCAGGAAAGAGCTCAGTCTGCTCAGGGACCTAAAGCTGACCAGCACGGCTAGAGCACAGAGCGGGATGGCTCATAGAACTAGCTTGTGTTTCTGGTAACCTCCCTGGAAATGCAGGTCTGCTTCCCTCTGCTATCAGAGGCCCATACAAAAGCTGGGGTGGCAATAATTCATCACTGGTGTCCCGATTCTACTGAGCTGGGGTGAGGGTGTGTGGATGAGGTGGGAAGGAAGTGCCCTTTGAGCAACCTGGTCGATTGTTTCCCCTTGTGCTTTCTGAGCCCATATGAGCTTTCAGAATCCAAGTCAGGCCCCTTCTGCAGCCCTACAGTCACTCCCCGTTTTCCATATACAGCCCAGTTGGTCAGTCAGCCTTATCTTCCTGCAGGTGGCATTGTGAAAGGGGATGAGGTCATGGCCATCAATGGCAAGATCGTGACGGACTACACCCTGGCTGAGGCTGAGGCTGCCCTGCAGAAGGCCTGGAATCAGGGGGTAAGAACAATCCCCCTCCCTTTATCCCTCCCTTGCCTGCCTGCCTCAAACCCTGGCCTCTGCAACCAGGCCTTACAGTCAGGGTGCCCCATCCCAGGGCCGATATCCAAGGTCCAGGTAACTCTTGGGTGACACTCACATACCCTATCCAGCCAGTGGTCTTAATCTGACAAGATAGAATTCAGAAAGTCAGTTTCCAACCTTGAATCCAAAAAACAAGTGGCACAGATAGACTCCAGAAGACCAGATGTGGCAACCCACCCAAGAAAAACTCTTAAGGTCTTCTCTAAGTACACACCAAACAGGAATCAAGAGAGTGCTTGAAAGCATTAACAGAAGTAGAGGGCCCAGAATGGAGGAGGGGCTGGTGGTAGTTTGCTCTGGCTCATTAGACACCCACCTGGGTCAGGGCCACCACATAAGGTCTCCCAGGCTGTGCACTGCACAATCCGAGGGGGTGCCCTCCTACAGACTACAGTGTGAATGGTGCTTGCTCATGTTGTGCAATGCACAACATGTGCAACTGTATGCAGGCAGCCGAGCCTGAGGTATTAAGTTCAGTGCCGAGGATGCTGACCAGATGGGCCTGGGACCCACATGAAGGGATGTGGAGAAGAGAAGACTCACGGGTAACATCATGACTGTCTTTAACTATCTCAAGTGCTGCATTAGGGTAGAGGGAGCGAAAGTTTTCTGTGATCTTGAGGGCAGAATTGGATTGGATGGAGGGAGGTCCTGAGGAGAGATTTCAGTTCAATATTAGGAGCTATTGCATGGTAGAGGGGCCTAGTGATATTTCACAAAATTTTTATTGGATACACCCAAGCCAAGGATGCACAATGATGGACAAGCTAAGGATGGCAGTGATGCCACTGAGGGGATTCAAATGTTAGGAGCAGAAAGCTAGGCCTGAAATTCCCCAATTGGCTGTGCATCAGAATGACCTAGGGACTTTGTTAAAAATGCCGTTTCCCAGGACCTAACCTCAGATTTCCAGGCACCAAGTCCATGAATCTAGAATTTTAAGGAATTCCCCAAGTGATTCTGAGGTTGATGCCTGGCCAGGGTCTGCAGATCAGCATTTGGGAACTTGGTGTCATTCAAGGACCTGGCAGCCCCGGCTTCTATGGTTCTGAAACCTCAGAGTCTGGAAGCTTCCCCAGACCATGGGATTGCACAGTGAGGCCCTTCCCCACCAGGAGGACCTCCAGCCCCACCTGGGCCCACCCCCCCATGGGAAGAAGGCCCCAGCCGGCTGATCCTGGGCCATGGTGCCCAGACATGGGAATGGAGTGTCAGGGGCAGACATGCCACTGACCACTGAGCATGCCTCAGAGTCACATGGCTTCTCCCCACAGGACTGGATCGACCTTGTCGTTGCCGTCTGTCCCCCCAAGGAGTATGACGATGAGCTGTAAGTGTGTGCAGGTGCCTGGCCCCCACCTCCTCTCCCTCCTCCTCCTCCGGGATCTTGGCCACTTTCCCCCAGCCCAGCCCCAGTCCTCATCCAGCCTAATGGAATGGCCCAAGCACACGAAGTCTAGTAGTAATTGATCCTGCAAAGCTCCCAGGCGAGAGCAAGCCTAGAACTAAGCCACTGTCCTCAAGCATTGCCAGAGCCGCCTCCAAGTCGGTCTAGTCCGGATGCTTCTTTCCATGTGGAAAACTGAAGCCCAGAGAGATTCAAGGCCTCAGGCCAAGGAAACAATGAAGTTTGGACAAAGCCTCAGATTTCTGATTCCACACTCAGAACTTCATCTCCTGCCCCATCACCAGCTAGTTTAAAGACTTCTGTGTCTTTTGCTCTCTGGAGGGTCTTCCTGCTACGTAGCTGCTTTCCCTCATGCAGCCGGGACCATAGGCTTTGGCCCCATCCTGCAGGCTTTCCTTGGCCCAGTCTCTGTCTTTCTCTGCAATTCCCTGTATGGTCTGTCTCTCCCTATGTCTGTTTCATTCCTGTCTCTGTATCTGTGTGGGTCTCTCTCTCTCTCTCTGTGTCCTTCCCCTCCCTCCTGCTCCCCCTTCCTTCCGGTCAATCTCTCTCCCCTGCATCCTTCTTTCCTTCAGTTCTCTCCCTCTTCTCTTACGTCTCCTTTTCTTGCCTCTCTCCATCCCTGGCTCTGAGTCCCTGCTTCTCCATCTTTGCCACCCTGCATCCATTTTCTCTCGCTCTGTCTTTCTGTCTCTGCCCCTGTCTCTCTGGGCCTCTGTCTGTGCCCACTCCCCCTCCCAGCAGAGGCTGAGTCCTGTGTACATCTTAGAGAAATCAAGGTCTTGTAGCAACTAATTCTGGAACCCAGAGCCTAGGCAGGACCTGAAGCAGGAGCCAAGTGAAGGGAGAGGTCCGGTGGAGCTCTGCCTGGAATAACCAAGTCCTGTTTTGTGTTTCCTGCTCCGCTCTGCGTATGTAGCTCTTCTCTTCCCTCCTCTGCAGCCGAAAGCCCCCAGCCGGTCCGAAAGCTCCTTGGAGACAATGCTCCCATGCTTAGACACGGGTTCCTCCTGCAGCTGGAGCCTGGCAACCCCCGTGATGAATAGGCAGGCGGGCTGCAGGGCCCCGTCTGTCCACGCTGCACGTCGTGGCTGTCTGCTGCCCATGCTGTCGGCAGGTTCTTGGGACTGGTGTCTGGGGATTCGCCATCCCTGAAGTGCCACCTGGGCCTGCTGTTGGTGCCGCTGGAATTCTTTTGGACTCAAAGGCCCTCCCGCTCAGGGAAGCCAAGCAGAGCCCAGTGTGCGGCACGCTTGGGACCTGGGTGTCCTGACTCACCACAGCCCTTGGGATCTGCCCTGGGTCCCACATAGCACCCCAATGAGCAGGATAGAGCAGTGAGCTCCATTCTCGGTTGGGCACAGGCAGTGCCTCAAACCAGGCACAATGGGCTGGCAGAACCCAAAGGAAGCACAGCCTGGGATTCCCCTTCCCTGTCAGCCCCACCCTCTGGGACCTCTACCTCCCTTCTGGGACCTCCATGCTTGGCCAGAGCCAGGGCAATTAAGAGGCAATTAAAGCTGGTCCAAAGAACCAGGATTGGCCTATCAGAGTTGTCCATGTCCTGTTGTGACCTGCTGTGGCTGAGCCCTACTCAGACCAAACTGTCCTCGGTGCCTTCTCTCTCCCTTGACTCTGGACTCTATCTGTGGGACACAGTGGAGCCCAGCTTTGGGATGTATTTCCTGCCCTGTGACAGGGCTGTGCCCATGGACAGAGCTGGTAGGGGGCCGTGAAACGGGTTTGGTGTGGCCTAAAGCCCAGAGCTGGCAGCATCTGGGGCAGACCCAAGCCTGGACTTGTTGACTTTTCTGTTGCAAGTTTCTCAAAATATTAGGGCCTCATGCTCCCAGGACAGTTGGCCTCAACTGTGGCCATGGCTTCTGGGATGGGCTCAGTGGCCCTTTGTTTTCTATCACTTGTCATCGGCTCTGTGAGGGACCTCAGTGCCTTTGCCTCTGGTCCCCTCCTACCTCATCCCAGGTGTCCCTTCTGCGCCCTCCCTGGCCTCCTGTGTGCCGTGGCTATGGCTGGGGTGTGGCTGCTTAGGGCCTGCACCAAGAGGGGATCCAGAGGTCGGCAAGGCCTTGTGCCTCCAAGGGGCAGGGTGTGCCCCCTTTCGTCAGCCTTGCCCTCGGCTGAATGCGCACCCACAAGACCTGCACCCTCCTGCTTTGTTCCGCTTCTCCACAGGACCTTCTTCTGAAGTTCAGAGGAGAAACCAAATCCACAGGTAGAAGCCAGTGAGCTTTGGACCCAACTTCCTGGACACCATGCCTGGAGCCAGCTGAGCCACCGCAGCCTGCAGGCACCCTGGAAACCCACAGCCAGCACCCAGGGATTGCAGACTCCCTCTGGCCCTGAAGTAGGGCTGCATAGGAACACTTCGGGCCACCCCTCTGAAGGCCAGCATGGAGGGAGGGAGCAGCTAGCCGTTCTGAAGAGGCCCCTGCGATCTAGACTCTCCTGTCGTCCCTCTGGCTTTGTGAATCTGGGACCCCCTTGAGCTCTGCTAGGGCCTGACTCTTGGGTCTACCCCTCTCCACCCCTCTCCTCTCTCTCCTGCTCTCATCGCCGCTAAGACTGATGCCACAGTCTTACTCTGAACTCATTAATAAAATAAACAGACTTCTTTTCCAGCTTATGAGAGTGAGTGTGGATTTGGGCAGCAGATTCAAGGCTGTCGAATTCAAAATTGTGAAGTTTTGGGCCCTATTCAAGAGGGAGAAACAGATCCCAGTGCTGGGATCTGGGATTGACATGAAGGACGTGACCAAACAGCCAGGGGCTGCCTTGGAGCAGGGGGCTAGGGCAGCAGGAGACAGGCTGGGCTATTCAGTGTCTTCTCAGCAGAAGGACATGAAGCAAAAAATGAAGTCCACGTGGCAGGGACTTTACTCAGTTTCAGAAAGTGCAGCTGACAGCTGGAGCCCCAGAGGGTCACGTCAGGGTGTAAGGTGCCCCAGTTTCTCTCACAGACAGCACGGTTACAGCTGTTTTTCCTGAGGTCGCCAAGACAGGATGTAAGCAAGGGAGCTGCAGGAGGTCCACTCCATCCATGAAATTACATCCAGCAAAACCTCACGGAAGGAGGCAAGGGCTTGAGGCAGGAGAGTGTAACTGCAAGGGGCTGGCAGGGAGTCAGTCAAAGCCCTCCTGGTTACAGGGCCCAGGGATGCTCTCAGGCTGGCTCCAAGGAAGAGAGTGGGGTCTGTCGGTATAGGCATCTCATGGGGATCCAAGATGAGGAGATGGGGTTCCCAGGCCTCCTGAGAAGTGGAAGTGGAAGGGGATTCTGATTTAAGGTGTCTCAGAGGAGCAGCTCTCTCCGTTTAGGCCACCAGCATCCTCAGAGCTCACCTTAAACATAGCCATCACAATCTTCTACCTCATTCTAGATGACCTTTAAGCTGTAGCTCCACCACCATTTCCCAATTCCAGATTCCAGACGCAGAATCTGATTGGACCAACTCACCTGAGTGGGCAGTCCTGGGGGAAGGGGCCAATCCCAAGTCCAGTCAGCTGTGGCTGGGGGGTGGGGTCACATCCCACCCGACATGGCTGCTGAGGCAACAGGGAATGTGGGCAGCAAGTCATGATCAATGGGAGGGGCAGAGAGAGAAAGAAGGGAAGAGGGAGAAACTGCTGGACTTTCTGATCTCAGTAGAGACAAAGCCACAATGACCTCCTAATAGCTGGCTCACAGCCGTGCTGAGGAAGTCTGTGTTTGTTTTCTTATCTGGCTCCTAACCTGGCTCTGGAGACAATTCCAAAATAAAGGTCAAAGGAGGGGGCTCACATTTGCTGACACGCCCTATGTGCCAGCCCTGGGCTGGACCCTGCCATCTCAAACTGCAGTGACTGGGATTGGTGCATGGCCCCCGCAAGGAGCCCGGTGATAACAGCCAACACTTAGATAGCATTGGCTATACACCAGGTACTGTTCTATGCTAAGCTCACCTACTTCCCTCAATAACTCCCTCAATAACAAGGTAGGGACTGCTCTTATCACCAGCCCCATTTTATGAAGAGAAGATTGAGGTAGAAAGAGGTGAAGTGACTTTCACTGGGTCACACAGTAACGAAGTTGTGGAGCTGGTATTCAAAACCCAGGTGCTCTGGCTCAGGAGCCCGTACCCTCCTCCACTCTATGCTGTATGGGGCAGGGCAACCCTCACTGGAATGTCTCTGTTTTTAGGCTGTTGGCTGGACAATTCTTCCTACAACTGAACAACTGACGTCCTGCTGTTCAGTAATGGTTACCTCTTAATGTGACCTACTAATAGGGCTGCTGAGGTCTTCGACTCATTCATGCCTGGAATCTTACCATTTGAAATTCATCTCCCCCTATTCTTAGTTATTGGCACCTCAGAGTCAATGAGTTTATCAGTGCTTGTCAAGACTTGATGAGTGGGACAAAAAAGAGGGCTTTGAGCTCCTGGTTAGAGAAAAGCCAGGAAAGTGTGCTACTGGGCCGGGCAGGAAGAGGGAATAAAGAGAGGCTGGGGACATGGGTGACATAAGTCCTGAACCATTAGGTCACCTAGGGCTGGCAGGATGCGGGGACTACTATGGGCTTCAGCCTCCTTTTCTATGAGGCCTGACTCTCTCTCACTATCATCAAGGAAACCAATTCTCATGTTGAACCCAAAGTACCCAGCAGACATTGGCATTAACCATTTAAGTGGAAAGGTCTAGAGAATGTGTATAGAGGTGGGGCCTAAAGCAGTACATGGCCTTCTGTGAGGGCCGTGAGGGGCACTACTGGGCCAGAGTCCACCAGGGGGATTGGGCCAGATATGGCAATCCACCTCAGTGCTAAGACCGAGTACTCAGGACTAAAAACCCACCCAGGCCAAGGACGGCCCACACACCATCCATTGCCTTCCACACACATGGCAGACATCACTCCTTCAATCCCAGCACTCTCTCTAACCAGCCAACCAGCAGCCATTAAAACTGATGAAGTCTGGCCCGCAAGAAGAACCCTATTTGCCACCTTTGATTCCAACCCCTGTTATTGGAAGTTCAGGAAAATTGAGGCCAAACAGGAAGTGACTTGTCCAGAGTCCCCCTAAGTTGGTGGCAGAGTTGCCATTTCTACTGCACTACACAGTGGTGGGGGAAAAAAAAACCCAAAAAAACAAAACGAAAAAACAACGAAAAAGGCTGGGAATTCAAGGATGCCCCTTGACTCTGAGCTGTTAGCATTTTATCCATCTCATTGAAGTTGTTTCCCAGAGCCAATCCCTGGGGTTGAGCCTGCTTTGAGCCTCTCACCTCTACATCTGGAAGTTGGAGTGAAAGGGCTGAGTTTAAAGCCTCTGTGCTTCCAGGACACCGTCTTTGGGCTTGTGCAGGGCCGGGAAGCTGGTTTTCATCCGATTGCAGCCTAATTCCCAGGTCTAAGTTTTGGAGAAGTCTCTGTTTCCAGAGCTGAAAGCCCTTTTCTCCTCCTGTCCCTTCAGTGACCCTTCCCAGCTCCCTGGGGCCTGGGCTGGCCATGCCTCTGTGAGAACTGGAGGGGCAGATGCAGCCCCTGGGAAAAGCAGGTGGGGCTGGCACAGAGAAAGGGCAGAGAGCGGAGGCCTGCTGCTGCTGGCCTCCTGAGGCTTGGGGTTTGCAGCCCAGGAGGCCGCCCGCTGGCCTTAATAAGGTAAGAGTGCTATTAACTACTAGGTGTTCACTACATGCCAAACACTGTGCTGAGCCCTAAACATGCAGTGACAATTATTATAAGACATTAGTAAGAGGTGGATAATGATGCTATTTCACTAAGGAAACTGAGGCACTAAGACTTAAGTGACACTCCTGAGGTTAAGTAGATAGTAAGTGGCAGAGACAAGATGTAGACTCGGGCAGGGTGGCTCCGGGAGTCCACGTCATTAACCACTGCGCTTTACTGTTTTGAGTAGATGAGAGGGAAATGATGCATAGAACATGATTTCAGGAGCACCAGGAAAAACTCCAGCCATAAAATAATTCCTCTCTGCTTCTGTTATCTCTGCATCCTGTGCGCTTCACACTGCAGAGTGAACCAACAAAAGCGTGAGTCAGGTCATATAACTGCTCTGCTTAACACCCTCCAATGCCTCCCTTGCTGGCCTTGGGACAAAGTCCAAACTCCCCAGCCTGGCGTTCAAGTCCTGTACCACCTGGGCCCTGACAACTTCTCCAGGCCAGTCTCTTGCCCATCGCTTCTTTCACGTCCGCCACATCGAACTGTTGGTTTCCTGAGCTTACTGCACTCCATCCCTTCCCTGTGTCTTTGCACATGTTCACTCTACCCCGTCCTCCTCATGTCCATGTGAACTTCTATGCATCCTTTAAGGCCCAGGTCAACTGTCAAAAGGGAGCAATGGGCCTAGCATGGAACCAGAGCTCAGTCAGTGTGAGTTCCTGCTCCCTCCTGAGATGGACCTTTTGGGTTGTAAGTGACAGAAACCCAATTCAAGATGACCACTTAAGTGGAAAATCCAGGGGTATTTGATGTCAGGTCTGGCTGGATCCAAGTGTTAAAACAATGACATCAGGAATCTGTTCTGGCCATCTGTGATTGTCAGGGGGAGAGAGAGGGAGATTTTAAGGAACTGGCTCACATGATTACGGGGCTTGGTAGGTCCAAAATCTGCAGGGCAGGCCAGCAGGCTGGAGACCTAGTGAAGAGTCGATGTTGCAGATTGAGTCTGAAGTTAATCTGTCCCCCTCTTTCTCAGGGGACATTAGTCTTTTCTTTATTATGGCCTTCAACTGATTGAATGAGGCCCACCCACATTATGGAGGATAATCTTCTTTACTCAAAGTCTACTAATTTAAAGGTTAATTTCATCTAAAAAATACCTTCACAGCAGCATCCAGATGTGTTTGACCAACAATCGGGGTACTATGGCCAAGCCAAGTTGATATAAAATTACCCATCACACCATCTCTTGTCTCCACCCTCCTCCGGTTGGCTTCATTCTTAGATGGGCTCTTCCATGTGATGCCAAGATGGCCTCCAGTATTCAAAATATATTCTACCAGGTAGTGCTACCGCAGTGGAAAAAAGCACACCTCTATCCTAGTAGTTCCTGCTAAATTCCAAGGATTTACTCTCATGAGCCTGTCTTGGGGGTAAGGCCTTCCCTGATTGGCCAGACCTGAGTCATCTCCACCCGTATAGCCCCATCAGCACCCCATGGATTGAGTAAAGGGAAAAGGTGGGTTCCAAAAGGAAAACTGGAGTGCTGTCACAGAGGAAGGGGAATAGATCTGGGCAGGCACAAAGCAGTGTCCACTAAGGACCTCGGTCCCCCAAAGCTCCCTTCCTTCCTCTTTTCCTTCTGGTCTCTCTCTTCCTTTGCTTGTGATCTACTCTGGGAGGAACCTGAGGCTCAGGAGGCCAGGGGATAACTCCCTCAGTGTGCGGAACCCTCACCAACTCCAGCTGCCAGGGCTGGCTACTTGGTCACCACTTGGGGACAAGAAATGGGGAAATGAAAGTTCTGCTATGACCACAGGACTCTTGGGCTGAGATACAGGGGGTTCCAACACTCACTCCCAAATGTCCCAAAAAGTGAGAACTGAAATCTGACCTTGGGCACGTTATTTAATCTCTACCTCCATTTCTCCAACTCTAAAGGGGTTATATAAGCAGTAC